AGGAATGGAAGTTCATATCTTTCAGCAGAACTTCCATAAATATTAATATAGTCACTGAGTACTTTTCTGGGCAAAATAAATTACTCATGGTCAGGACCAATGTTTTTTTAGACCTAAGAGGAATGGAAAATCAATAACCCAAAAACTGTAGCATGAAAATGGAAACAAATACCTGCCTTGGTCAAAAACGCAGTCTCAACTTAAGCCACTCAAAGAATACAGAATTTTGAACTATTTAGTTTTTTGGTGAACCCTTTAAGGAAAATAGGGAAATGTTTCCCTGGATCCTAGACTCCCAAATATATCTATATACGTATATATGCATATATTCAGGTTATTACTCATAACTTAGATATATGTTGGCAAATACATATTCACAATTATTCTTTCAAGTATAGACTAAGTAGTTAGTCTAAGCCATTTTTTTCTTACAGTAATTAGATAACAGTCAGTTGTCTATAAATGTTACTTCTAGTTCACATTATTCACCCATAGAAGAATGCTTTTCTTTCTAAGAGTGCAGTATAGAATGCACCTGGCATTCAGCTCAACCAAAACCAGTTCAAGTTAAAAGGACAATTAGAAAGTGGTAAAAAATGGAGGGAGGATAATATAATCTTTCATTAGTCTGTTGGAAATTATTTTCTGATATGAGAACATCACTATGATTATACATTATGAATAACTGTAATCTTAGTCAAGTTACTTAACTGCTCTTTGTCTCAATATCCTTCCTCATCTATATTCAATGGGAATAATAATGACACTTCATTGTTTTTTGGGGAGGAATAAATGAGATAATACATGTGATATTCCTAGAACACTACTGACACATAAGAAGTGCTCAGGGTTAGCTAGTATTCATCAGTAAGCAAAACGTCTGCATTTTGGTCTTATGGCTTATAACCAGTTCCTATCCATATCATTAAAGTAAAATGAAAGCTCAGTAAAAATTGCAACAACTTTATGTTATGCCAGCAAAGTTATCCACTGGCTAATATAGAACATTATGATGGAATTGTTGGGCCTAAAATCTTTTTCTAACGTAGTATCCAGTGGATCCTGGATATTCTAGATCATCAGAAATCACATAAGTCATGAGTCTGAAATACTATTGCTGCATATAATTTTCAAAACTTTCAATACTTTCAATACTTTTCTGGGCAAAATAAATTACTCATGGTCAGGACCAATGTTTTTTTAGTATCAATTTTTACAATTGATACAATAGTATCAATTTTCAATCAATCAATAAAAAATCAATTATTTTTTAGTATCAATTTTCAAAACTTTCAATACTTTCAATTACCCTTTTCCAGCCACTGAGGAGATAATGAATATACTACCACCAATAGAAATCAATAAAGCTCTGTTGAGATTCTAACCCTGGGAATCAGGGGTGGTTTGGTTCACTGACTAGATAAATTGTTGGACTCATAAATGGAAGCCTTGCAGCCTTACAGTAATTCAAATTTGGCTTTCAGAAAAAAAAGTTTAAATCATTACATTGTAGTAGTTTTCTGTTGCCGCATTGCAAATTGCTATAAACTTCGCAGTTTAAAACTATACCCATTTTTAAACGGATAGTTTCTGTGGATCAGAAGTCCAAGGATGGCTTGACTGGGTTCTCTGCTTAGGGTCTCACAAGGCCAAAATAAAGTGATGGCCAGGGCTGTAACCTCATGTAGTACTTGAAGTACTTGAAGTTTCTTGTATCTTTAGGACTGAGTTTCTTGTATCCTTATATGCTTGCTGACTGTCAGCTTCTCCTCAGCATCTAGAGAATTCCTGCATTCTTGTTATGAACATAGACCCATCTATTGATATCTTTAAAGCCAGAAACAGTTTCCCTTGCATTGAATTTCTCTCATGCTTCAAATTTTGTCCCTAACCTCAAGACACTGATTTAAGGGGCTCATGACTTTAGGTCAGGCAGACCAAGATAATCTCCCTTTTTAAATTTCAACTGTGCCATATAACATAACCTATTACAGGAGTGATATCCCAATATATTCATGATGGTAACAATTACAAAGATCATGGACACATCGGGGGATGGGCCACTTAGGGCACATCTTAGAATTCTACCTACCACATATATCAAAGGCCTTAAGTATTAATCATTCCAAGTTTAGACCAAAGGGTCTACTCTATTGGCATAAGATGCCAAGTCTTCGACTTTAAAAGAAAGAAATTGGCATTTAGAAGCAGTTATCCTATAAATTTACAACTTTAGAATATAAAGTTGTCTTTTGTACAGTTGAAATAAATTCTAGGCTAAATTATGCAGAACCATACTCTTGGCATCAAGGACAAAAAACTGAAGAATCTGATCCCATCATTCCCTATGTCTATAATTCACTATGAACTTTTTCATCAACTGGACCTTATATGGGTGTGTTATCAGTGTTCACTCAAAAAGTGTCACATAAGATCAAGAACATGTGCAACCACTGCCTTTAATTTATAAAGACGAGATAAATAAGTTTATTTGACCTTCCAGAATCTGAACTTACAAGACTGCATTCAAGAAATTCATGCCATGTTAACCAAATTCTAGAATCCATTCACATGACTGAAAGTATTGGCTTTATTTCATATTTTCCCATAGGGAATTACATGCTAGTTGTTTGTTTGTAAGGAATTTATAGTAATAAGTTGTTGAGATCTGAGTTAAATTTCTGAATTTTTTTCCTTAGGTCATCTTATTTTCTTTATCATATTGATTTTGTTTGTTTTGGGATTTTTTCCAATAGGTGGTGGGTGAGTACGTTGGTTGATTGATTTTTGCTGTTGGAACAACTTTGTAAATATCTTTAAAAAATTATGTATATTTGATGTTTTCAAATGTGTTATAGTTTTATTATAGCACATGTATATATCTATATCTGTATCCATATCTATCATCTACCTAAAACCAGTTTGCTGATGATGACTTCACCACAAAGGATTGTTAAATCAGGGCTGACTTGTATATTTCAGTCAACTACAAGGGATTATCAGTGGCTTTCTGGAACCCTCAGTTGTTAGGGTTTCTGAGTCTGGCTTAGCCAGTAAGAAAATTAGAAATGTTTGCATGAAGTAAGGGCTAGGGTGTGTAAGGATACAATGCCACATATTCAGTACCTTACAGGAAGGTGGTTATTCCAGAATAAGCAAATACTGAGGAAAGGTTGTATAATAAATCATCTTTTTATATATATATATATATATATATATACACACACACACACACACACACACACACACACATATATACATATATATAAATAAAATGAAGCTAATATATAATATATATAATTATATATATTATATATATAATTAAGCTAATATGTATATATATATTAGCTTAATTTTCCTTGATGGCAGGAAGAACTTCAGACTCTCATGAGAATGTCTAGGGCCTCCTGGGCAACAGAAAGGATCCTGACAGCAAGGAATAGCTTAAAAGCAGTCTGCAGATAAAATTCACTTCCTTCACAGTTTTGCCTAGGGTAGGCTTGGTCTCAAATGGTAGTCCCTCTATTATGCATTTGGTCTTCTGAAGTGAATAAATAAACCCTTGAATCCAAATTCCCCAGACCTACTTAAAATAAAGAATTCACTATGGTACTCACCAATCCAATGAAATATTTTTTGGAAGAATGACAAATAAGTTTAAATTAAAATATTTAATTTGGTAGATAACTGCAGATATGCACTGAATTTTTTTTTTTAATATTTCTGCAAAATGGAAAAAGGAACAGGGCAGATGAGTTAAGCACTGAAAAACTTTCTTCTTATACTCTACATTGATGCATTAGATTAGAGATACAGAGATCACATATAGCAAGATTGGTATTAATGACTATAAATTCTCAACAGAAAATGCCCTTCACATAATAGAAGCCACACAGTGAAATGAATCAAGCACTGAATGTTGATAAAGACTTAAAGACAGAGTCATAACTAAATGTTCAGAAGAAAAGTGGCCTGCTGTCAAGCCTGAAACTTTACTAAAAAGTGGGGAAGAGAAAGAGAGAGAGAGAGAGACAGATGGCAAAAGAGAGAAAGACAGGAAAACAATAGTGCAGGGGGAGAATACATAAAAACTACTGTACTGTGAAAATCTAATTCTTGTATTTTAGAAGGCAACATAAACAATAATGAGAATGTTTACTATTTTAATAAAGATGTATCTAAGTCCCATGCAATTTAAATACATGCTTTTGTCTAAATATTTCATTTCCCTAGTTGTCAAAAGTAGTTATTCTAAGAAAATTTACACTTGAATGACTGCCCCAAATATGTTCTGATCTTGTAAAGGTGATGTAATTTCCCTTTTGGTTTATTTGTACTTAATTAGTTTTTGTCAATGTTGTACATTCATTAGACTCCAGCATTTCAAGATCTGCTTGTTTTCTGATTCAGAAAAATTAGTCTGTATCCTTTAGTTATGTAAAAAGCCTACCATTTAATTAGGAACATGTCATATCAGATTTAGGTAATGGTCTGTAACCTTGCCAATGCCTACATTACTGCTGAGGGTAATCAGTCATTTAGGGAAGTGTATTTGCGCTTGGAATACAGTAAAGTTTCAAATCATTGTCCTTTTTCTGCATTCTTTTAGTTTTCTTCTATTACATTTTAATCTCATGTCTTTTTTCTTTACTTCAAACTTCCCAAACTTCCTTATCATTTTATGTGTACTATTTGAATTCACCTTTTCCTCATTGATTGCCTCTTCCCCTAATTTTCTCTGTTCTAACTTGATAGAAACTTTTATTTTTCAATTTTATGAGGAAATATAAAGAAAACAAAGTGAAGTATAAAGAAAGCAAAAGAGTTTCCCAATGTTAACCTCCATCACATTGAACATGTTCTGGAGAAAAAGTTAATATGAAATTATTGATGGAACGTCTCCACTTATAAGTAAACAAAAATCTATTTAAAGAGAAGAAACCCTAATAATTCCTCATACAATGCTTTAAAAAGTCTCAGGAGTGGGAGGAATCAGTTACCTCAGCTTGACCCATTGGTATGTTTTCATAGTTGTATAGATTATCCAGGTCTTCTAAGGTGGCATCATAGGTTTCTGAGTCATAGTTGATGGATTCTAGAGTTGGGGCGGTCACAGCAGCATCCAAGATGACAAGTCCCAGAATGAGTCTTGCTAATGTTTTCATTTTTCAAACTTTCCTAATCATAAAATATTAAAACACATACATATTTAATTGATAATAACTTATGAATAGTTTTCATTAAATAAGAATGATAAATCACTGTCAATACTGAGAAACTCAAGCTGGTAGCTTTCTTTCCATGGATAATTTATAAACATAGCACATGAAATTGTGTGGCTTCCGAGGACTATTGGTGCCAGATGCTCAAATGAATTCACAAACCTATCCACATTTTTACAGTAGATATTGGAATTATGGTGAAATTGATTTTATTTTATAGAGAAACATGGAGAAAATGGTATGCAGAAAGACTGTGGTATACTTATTCACAAAAGCCTTCACATTATCTAAAAGTTTTACCACTTACTAAGCATTAAGATTCTTTCATAAACTCTGGGATGTAGGGATGATGAGGATGATGATGCTAATCACTACAACTGTCACACCACTTTACAGATGAGGAAACCAAGACAGAGTTGGCTAGTAATACAGCTAGGACTGCTTCTTGTACATTTAAGTCTAGGGCTTTTTCCAGGCAAAATAATGAAGGTTTGTTTTTTCTTTCTTTTACTTCTTTGTTGCCTCTGGGTGTCTTTAATGCATACATAATTTAATATTTACACACATAAAATTAATGTTTCCTGCAATATTTTCAAAGCTTGTCTTAACTAAATGGAGCAGACAAGAAAATTATTTTTTTCCTTAGTCCTTTTCCTTTTTAGTCCTTAGTGTTTTATTTCAATCCTTAGTGGCTATCTAAAGTTTAAACTCAGAATCAATAGGAATACATGTCTGAAAGTCACCATTTAGCAAGCTTTCCTTAGAGGAGGATTTGCACACACATGGGATTAGAGCAATCTTTTGTTTTGTAATTCTTTAATAAACGCTATTCTTAGTTTCCATGGTAACATCATGCTTTGGGGAGATTCAGTCAAGATCTTATAATTTTAATTATTTTAATTCTGTATGTACTCCTTTGCATACATTTTAGTTTAGAAGAAAATCGCTTATGTTTAATTTTAAACATTTAAATTAGGCCTATGAAAAGTGTTACCTAGTGATCATTCATTGAGGAAGCAAAGTATTTGTAAAATTTTGATCAAGCATATCTAATTTTAAAGGTTTTGTATTTTGGATACACTCCTTGGGTTTACTTTAAGAACAGTACATGTGGTGTTTGTACCTATGCACACATACAAAAAGGAATTCATGATAAATATTACTTTCAAACTTGAATGCACTGGCAGACAAATTGACCTTCAGTTACTTGAAAGAAAGTCTTTATGAAGCAGGTTTAGGCAGAAGGATATGAAATTCCTCTGAGAATAGGAAGTAGTACAAGGAGCTCCTTTTTATCCTTTCCTATGCTTTCTTCAAATAAGTTTTTTATTCATACTGGATAAACTAAGCCTCTATTTTACTTGCCTTTGCAGAGGTCTTTGCAGGATCTCAGATTTGGAACAGTTTTATGCAATTATCAACAAAGTCCTACTTAATAAAACAGTGTGATTTGCAAATCTTTCAGAAACCATTCTCCCATATTCAGATGGGAAGCATTAACAGTGGCCACCACTAACCTAAAAAATATATAGATTTCCTTGTACAGTTCTGGCAACATTCATTGTTCAAAAAACTTATGCACTTGCTTATTCTTTTTCTCACTTCATACTCTATGTTTGATTATATATATCTGCATATTAGAGTTTACTTGCATTTGACATATCCCCTAAAGCTATCATCAATAAGGCAGTCTGTGAACCTTAGAAATATGAAGAACACATATCCATGTATCGTTTAAAAAAGCATGTTCCTTCCTTCGAATACTTACATTGGTATTTAATGTAATGTCTTTGTTGAAACTTTAAATATATTGTCCGCTCTATACCATTTAATGACATCTTAATAGCTTATACTTATATAAAAATTTAAAATATATAGCTTAAAAAGACATTGTAAATGGAAAATTGTAATATAATCAGTATATTTTAAACACCTGAAATCTTATCATTTTCTTCTTTTGCATAATATTTCAATCAATAACAATCAATAGTGCCTGTCAATACTGGCAAAGAACGTGTTCCATGTCAGGGCACCTGACTTAAGGAATATATTGGAAACTACTATAATTTTATTGGCATCTAATTTTATTCTCCTGGCTCTCAAGATCAACTATTTTTCTGTATGTTATGAATTCCTAAGCTAATTCAGAATTTTGGATTTTCCAAGAATAATATAAATATAAAAAGAGCAAAAGTAAACCCAGCTGATTGAATCAAAGTTCACCACAAAATATTAAAGCAAGTTGAATTATTTTTTTAAAGGTTATTATAGTAGGGAAAAAAGTGTATAACCTGAGAAGAAAGCAAGTGTAAAAACTTACCTTTGGCTCCTACTTGGTGAAATGGCACACAGTGACTGAGGACGCAGAGCCAGTGGTGTTTGCCCCTGACCAATAGTTGTGAATTCTGGTCTGTGGGAGGTGGAATTTATAATACTCAATTTTCTGTTTGGAAAAGCTAACCTTGGGAAATGCTTCTCAGTCTCTGAAAACTCCAAATTATTTTATAATCACTCAAATTAAGCAGTAGAATTCAAACTACAGAGTATATGAAGCTTTTGAAGTTATGTTAAAGGAGGTATAATTGCAAATATGTCACCTAAAAAATTTTAAATGGAAAAAGTTGGTTTTAACATATCTCATCTATAACCAATTCACCAATTAAGACATTAATGTAAACAGTGATACTGTAGATGGATATTTCAGAAATGTTCTAATAAGAAGTAATTTTCCCAAACCTTGCATATCTTGAATTGTTTTCTTCAATTTTCACTAATGTTAACTGAAGTTTAGTAAATGTTGCAAAAACCTTACCTGTATAATGTTGGGTAAGTAAAAGCAAAAAACAAAACAGAACCAAAAAAATATTTTGATTGCTTGGAAAGCTTCGAGAGCAATCAAACCATGAACCTCTTGCATGAATATTTATGAAAAATGATGCCCAGAAATAATGCATAAATATGATCTGAGTGTTTTGAAAAGAAGGCTCCTTTTCTTCTCTTTTATCTATCAGAGCCAAACAAATCAAATTACATTAAAAAAAAATTTTCTCCCAGAGTACAAGATTTGTTTTAGGCTTTTGGTACCTGACATGGTTTGTGAAACTGAGATTTATTATAGGTATGGAGAGAAAATATATTTGTATTAAATCTCCGTTCTTCATTTCCACTCACACTGCAGAAGTTCTAGAGAAAGATAAAACTTGCATTTTGTATTCTGGTATGTGTTATGTAAATCTAGCTCTCACCTGTGCATCAGGAATCTTTCCTCATGACCAGAGGTGAATAGCTTTATGTACTAGACTTCGGAAACAGGTTTGGTTCTGGACAAACTGACGGAGGAGATGGCGTGTCTTCAGAACTCTCTTCCCCTTTCTGCTTCCCTCCCATCTTTCCTCCCTCAGACTGCTTTGTCCGTCTATTCAGGGCACTCTCAGTCATTACTCTCATCATCTATACCTGCTTCCAAATAATTTGTTCTCAGTGTGAATTATTTTTCTTGGGACCAGCTTTACTTGTAATGGAAGCAGTGATACAAGGTAAAGTATGAAATCTACCAAGACCTCTCAAGCAGTAGAGAGGCCATCTTGGAGGCAGCGATTTCCTCCTGGCAGTCCTGCATGCTGGCAGTCTTACCACATCATGTAGAGGCTGCTTTCCGAAGCATTTCTGGAAAGAGGCCTGAATCTGAATTCCTACACTGGCTCTGTTAAGCAGCAATGTCCACACTGCGTGTTAGATGATTTTATATGTTGTTAATTCTTTTAACACATTCTCAATCAGAGTGATCATCACTCTTTACAGAGGTTAAATTATCCAGTGTCACATGTGATAGAAAGAGAAAATCGATTGGGACAAGTTCCCAGATGTTACTGGGCCCATCTAAGGGATATCGGTGAACGTCAAAAGGCAGATATCTCTCAGTTACTTAGATTCGAAAGCTGCTTACCTGTCACTAGTGTTTCAGATCTTTCAAATGCTTTGAAATAAAAATAGATGAATAAAATATCCATGAAAATATCTAATATTTCTTCCTCTTCCTGCATTATTTAGTCTAGTACTCTGCACACATTGTCAGGTGATGGTGAGGTGGGATCTACCTAGTTCCTTGCTTTCTGGAAGGCTCTGGCTGACTTTGTAAGACTATTTCTGGAAATATATAGTCTTATATATACATGTATATGTCTTATATATAGAAGTAATACTATATACAGAATTAACATTATATTAAGACAAGTACAAGTCTTAATATAGAATTGAAAGTAGAAATGATCATTTGTCAGTATTCTCTTCTTCCAAATTCTCTTTCCTTATAAAAATGGAGATTGTCATACTGAGTGAAGTAAGTCAGACACAGAAAGACAAATATCATATGATATCGCTTATATGTGGAATCTAAAAAAACAAAAAGGGTACAAATAAACTTATTTACAAAACAGAAGTAGAGTCACAGATATAGAAAACAAACTTACGGTTAGCAGGGGTTAAGGGGGAAGGGGAGGGATAAATTGAGAGATCGGGACCGACATATACACACTACTATATATAAAATAGATAACTGATAGGAAATTGCTGTATAGCACAGGGAACGCTACTCATTACTCTGCAATGGCCTATATGGGAAAAGAATCTAAAAAAAAAAAAAAGTTTGGATATATGTGTAGGTATAACTGATTCACTTTGTTGTACACCTGAAACTAACACAACTTTGTAAATCAACTATACTCCAATAAAATTTCTTTTTAAATGGACAATTTAAAAAATAATTTATCTTATTCTTATTTGGACTCTCTCCAATATTTCAAAATCTGTTTTGAACTGTGGGAGCTCAAATTTGTAACCACCTCATGAGGCTCTAATCTCCATTGAACAGTGAGGGAGGATTAATTACCAGTTCTAGCCTTTCATATCCCTGGTAAATATCTTCTAGTTTCATGATAATTTTCTTAATAGAGCCTGAACTTTGTTATCAGACACCCTTGGGAGATCAGTTATTATGACAAGTTGTATTACCTAGTAACAGAGGCCTTATGCCTTTATCCCTTTAAGTCCCCAAACATTTTACAAATCCTTTTGGCTACAACTCTCTACAAAATTAATTAAATACCATCCTACTTGCTGAGACAGAATTCGTTTTAAACAGAATGGTCTTCTGTTAATGATTGCATTCTCTCTGTTCTATAACAGTGGTGAGCAGAGAGGAGCAGTCGCTCTGAGGACAGTCCACTGCTCTCTGCCCTTGTCCCCAGCCCCCAAAGGCCACATCAGTAAGACCTGCAGGACGGTATAGATATCCCACTCCACTGATTATAAGGAATAAAACCATTGCCTGAAATGATTAGTTACCCCACTATGAAGAATTCCCTTGTTGCCTCAGATACATAATTATCAGCAGAATTCCAAAGCTCCAGGTCTTCCAGCATCACCATAAACTCATATACAATGTGCTGCTTGTATTCCCTAATCTTACCCAGTCTCCTCTTCCAGAAACTTTCAAGCCTGATCCGCAACCCAAAAACTCTCCTTTGTCCTCGTGGGCCTCTCACTGCTGTGGCCTCTTCCGTTGCGGAGCACGGGCTCCGGACGCGCAGGCTCAGCGGCCATGGCTCACGGGCCCAGCCGCTCCGTGGCATGTGGGATCTTCCCGGACCGGGGCACGAACCCGTGTCCCCTGCACCGGCAGTCAGACTCTCAACCACTGCGCCACCAGGGAAGCCCTCCCTTTGCTTTTCTTAATCTTAAAAGTATCTGGCTATCTCCTGACAAAGGTTTTGCACTGCAGTCCTTTAAAGTAGTGGCTGTGTTTTCTTCTTCACTCACATAACACAAAGAACACATTACTGTTCCTTGCTCTACATTTTCTCTTCCAAACAATTTCTTCTTTTTACTCTTTCAAAAAACTCCATCCATTCTGAAACTCATGACATCTGGTTTAATTATCTACAACCTCTTCCCCGTCCCCAGCTGCTGGACCTCCTAGTCGAGCCTCTCCTTGTCAATGACTTTTGCTCCTGCCTCACTCATACTCTCTACCGATGCCTGGTCATCATGTCCGGTGACGTGCTTCCATGTGCATAATCCACGTACCGTGGTGGCCTAGGAGTTGCCTTATCTCCTCATGTGTAGTAAAGTTACCCACTATTATTGTCATACCCTCCAGCTTGTTACCACCGGGCATTATATAACCCTACTACTGGGGTATTGTTAACCATTTTTCCTTTCACCTCATGAGAACTTCATTCCACAGACTCCATGTCTTTTTCACTATTTATTTAATCTCCTATCTTCAAATCCTTCCTTAACTTTAGTTTTGATGGACCATTATCATAATTACTCCCTTTCAAGCACTTTCTGCTTTCCTTCTTTTTTTTCCTTTTATCATACTCATTTATGAAGACTTAAATTTCGGTTGAACACAACACCCAACTCTCTTCTCTCCTGCATCTGAGCAGCTGTATATTCCTAGTAAAAATCATGTACAACAATTGGTGTTACTTTAAATTCTCAAAGATAAGCATCAACCCTAGCCAGCAGATCTGCTGTGTTTCTGATGTTGATTCCCTTTCCAACACTCTAAGATGACTACATTATAAGATTTTCCTTGTCCTTAAAGTCTTATATTCCTTTTCTCCTCACGGAACATCCACAGAGTGATGGTAGAAGTCATCAGAGAAGTGTTCAATTAACTTTCCACTATAAAATCCACCTGCACTTGTATGTGTCTTCTTTGTTTTCCCTTCTGTGACAGTGAAAGAATTTAGAAGTAAATTCCCCAAATGATGCCCAGGATCTAATTCCCTTTCCTCTTCTCAAGGCCTACACTTCTTTAATTATCTCCTTCCCCTCAGTATCTCCCCTCCCTACTAGGTCAATTCTATGTACATACATGGTCTGTGCACAGTCAGGCAGGCATTCTACGTAACACAAGTGAACTGAATGAAAATACAAAATACAATGGGTACAGTAGTAGCCGTGAGAACACATGCCATTTCTAAAATAAAATTCAAAATCAAATTATTTTAAGACACTCCAGAGTCTAAAAATGTATCTACAGACTTGAGTCATCCTATAAATTCTTCAATGATAACTTCAGATATTATGTCTTATCTTTAAAAAATAATGGCTCTTAGACTCCACATTTTCCTCCTCCTACTATCCCATTTTATGACCCCTTTTACAGAAAAAATTCTCAAAAAATATGGTATGCATTTGCTATTTCTTCTTGCTCTGTTCCCATTCACTCTTCATTGTACTGCAGTTTGGGGTTCTGTATGGGTAATTTCCTGGCTTTGCCTTTACTGCTGTCCTGGCAGCCCACCTTGGTTTCCATACCTCATTGGCTATACCTTCTCAATTCCTTTCTCAGCCAATCTCTTTCTCTACCGGGCCTATAAATGTTGGAG